TCCCGCAGTCCTACGCCAGCGGCAGAATCGGGCCCTGCCGGGAGAAGAAGGTGTTGAAACACGGTGAATTATTTTCGCCTTTGAGTCCAGCCAGAGATGACCCCCCCCCGCCCCGGGCAGCACCCACGATTGGATCGAGACTCCAGAAATCCCCGGGGCCAGCCCCCCCGCACCCCGTGGTTATTTTATTTTTAAAGGGTGTTTTTAGAGGTGCGCTCTGCCGAAAGCTCGCTACGGGCATCGATACGGCAAAGCCACAGCCGGCGGGGAGACAAAACCCCCCGAACCGGGCCGGCAGGGACCCACGGGCGGTTCCGAGGACCCAGTTCTTCAATTACGGTTGCCCAAGTTTATTTTATGGATAAATAAAGCAACAAAACGCTCTCAGTTACTCCTAATACACTCGGGACTGTGTCACCCGGACGAAGAACACCCGCACAGGACACCAGAAGTATCGAGGGAGCAAGAGGAGAGACGGGGGGCTGTGACCGAGCTGATTTACGTCATCAAACAGATATTTCTCCCATAAAATTTCTCGGTTCGATTCTGCCGGCGTAAATCACGCCTTCATGAAATGACAAGTTCTCCAGCTAATTCCTGGATGAAAAATAAAACGGCGCGGAATAAAACCAGAAAGGGAGGGGCGGGTCTGCCTGCGACACACGTACTCCTCCTTGTTTGTCAGTCACGGGGCCTGCCCCGCTTCGGGTCCGATCCTGTGTTTTAAGCCACAGGTCCAGAGCGAAGCACGCAGAGGGGCGTCCGGAGGCAGCGCTTCAGGGATTTAACACTTATTAAAAAAAAAAACACTACGAAGGGCACTTTTATACACGTATTCCCTGCCAGCGAAGGAGGCTGTATTGAACAAGTGTCAGTATTGAAAGGCGACGCTGAGGGACGGCTTCCCGCTCAGGGCGAGCTGGGAAAAAAAAACCACCAGCCCACCACCACAAAACCACAGAAACCACCCCGCATCTGCCAGGTTTAGGCTGGATTTTTTGTGGGGATAAAGCCCCCCCGAGCGGCGCCGGCTCGGCCTCCCCG